AGAAATAATGTTTTGTTGGGAGTGAGTTGCTCACACAAGACAGGAATAGAGCAGCACATCAGTCTGTAGCCTCTCCTGCCTCCCAGAGTCTCTGGGGACAAGGGGGATAAGCAGCTGCTGGTGATTCTGTCTACACAGAGAAAGGATTTCACAGTCTAGAAAACCCAGCTGTTGCTAAACCATGAACTTTCACATTACTGAGCATCACCAATCTGGAAGGATCTACTCCAACAATCTCCATGTTCTCTTTAAGGACACACCTACAAATTTTAATCCTTCTTGGTTCTTGAGTCAATCAAGAATGAGTTACGCCATACCCTCACCCAGAAGAGAAAGTAGTGTCATAGCTTTGACATCCTTAGTATTTTATTTTTACTTACACCTTTCTGACATCCTGGAACATGCATTTTTCTGAAGTCTACTCCATGACTGAATGAAGACCCTTTACTGAGCAGCTCTGACACTGAGTTTGTTTCAAAAAGAATATGACAATTCCATTTCCACACAGTTAATCTCCAATCTGTTGTGGGTAACCACTGATCTAACCACCATAAGTCCTACATCTTGGTTTTCCATAACTGAGAAGAGATCAATTGACTCATGTTGATAAGAATGAATTTTTGTACCTCACTTTGTATTGCTTGTCCATAATTGTGGTCTTTGATTTTTCATAGATTATCCTAGCTACTACAATCTTTTTTTTTTTTTTGACTTCTACAAATGCCATTTATAAGGTAGTGGAAGACCTTCAAGTGTCCTTTGTCACTATTTCTCTTAATTTCTTGCCTGTTTGCATCACAACAATCCGGGCTTATCTATATTCTTCTGCTTCAAACATGGCATTGTTTCCCCAGCAAGCAGCCTTATTTTCTTGTATTGGGGAATGGTATTGTAGTTAGTTGCTGTGGAGTCAGCTCTGACTCATGGTGACCCTGTGTACAACAAAATGAAACATTCCTGGTCCTCCACCATCTTCATGACTGTTCGTAGGCTTGCGTCCATTGTTGCAGCCCGTGTGTATTTTAAGTGACTTTTAACTTGGAGGACTCATTTTCTAGCACTATATCGACAATATTCTATTATAATTCATAGGGTTTTCATTGTCTAATTATATGAAGTACCATATCTTATTTTGTAAGTCCTAGTCTGACTTAGTCTGGAAGCTCTGCTGAACATTCCCCCATGGGTATTAAAAATATTGGTGGCATAGCTTTTAATATCATAGCAAAATGCAAGCCCCCAAGGTATGACAAACTGACAGATGGGTCATGGGAGTATGGTTGTTATTGTGTTGTTGGGTGTCATTGAGTTGACTCCAACTCATAGCAGCCCTATGTATAACAGAATGACACATTACTCAGTCCTGTACCATCCTCACAGTATTTGCTATGCTTGAGCCCATTGTTGCAGACCATTGTCAATCCATCTCATTGAGGGTCTTCCCCTTTTTCACTGACCTTCTACTTTACCAAGCATAATATCCTTCTCCAGGGACTGGTCCCTTTTGACAACATGATCAAAGTACTTAAGACAAAGTCTGGTCATCCTCACTTCTAAGGAGCATTCTGGCTGTACTTCTTTCATGACAGATTTGTTTGTTCTTCTGGCCATCCCTGGTTCTTTCAATATTCTTCACCAACACCACAATTCACATGCATCAGTTCTTCTTAGGTCTTCCTTATTCATTGTTCAGCTTTCATATGCATACGAGGCTATTGAAAAGAATATGGCCTGGGTCAGGAACTCTTTAGTCTTAAAAGTGACTTCTTTGTTCTTCAACACTTTAAAGAGGTCTTTTGCAGCAGAGTTGCTCAGTGCAATACATCATCTAATTTCTTGCTTGCTGCTTCCATGGGTGTTGATTGTAGATACAAGTAAAACAAAATCCCTGACAACTTTGGTCTTTTCTCCATTTACCGTGATGTTGCTTATTGGGACGAAGGATGGGCCATCCACTTCTGAAAAAGTTAACCACTAAAAACCTTGAAAGTATATTATTAGAGACCAAACTTTGAATGGGAAGGACACACATTATCCTGTTTTAGATGAACACTAGTGATAGATTGGGATATGAACACTTTAGGGATGGAGCTGAAAAATTACTTGCCCCACAATGTTTGATTTTAGAAGAAAGTTAAAGTTTGGCTGACCAGTAGAAATCTCAGTGGTATTGAGAGTGGTAGACTCCACTACACATGCTGTAAATAGACTAAACACTTCCTCCAAATATGGTTTATACTATTTGTTATACTGACATATTTCTTGCCATTAGTTTCTCTTCTCTATCCTGATACCCTTATCTTTTCACACCAGGTTTTAAGTAGATTTATTTTACCATTTCTTCTCATTTAGTAGATATGTCAATGCTTGTGCAAAAGGGGAATTAAATACTAATTCTATACTTCTATATAGATCTCACTGGGAAAATTCCCTTTACAAAATAAGATATGGTTCTTTTCCACTCACTTAATACAAAATATATTTTTTAATAAAAATATATCTGATTATTTATTAATATTTATTAATATTCCACAACAGAGGCTCTGGCTGTAGAAATGGTTAAAATGCTTGGCTGCTAACCAAAAAGTTGTCCATTCTATTCTGTCCAGAGAACCCTGGGAAAAAAGCCTTGGTGATCTACTTTCAATAAGTCAGCCATTGAAAAGTCTACAGAGCACAATTCTACTATGACATATTGGGGTCACCATAAGTTGTAGTTGACTCATGGCAACTTTTTGTTGCCTGTTCAACAATGAGAACATAACCAGATATGATTACTGATCTCATGAGACATTAGTCTAGTGGACAGTTGAGATAATTTTCAATTAATTGAAATAGAATGTGATGAGAGTTGTGATAGTGCATAAAAATGGTGTGGTGGCATTATACCTCCTCTAACTTCACAAGGGCAGAGGAGAATCATCATCAACATCAGCCCAAGGCTGATTTCTATGAGGTAAAAGTCATACATACCTCCTCTCCCAAAACTTTTTACCAATTCTGACAGCAGTCGTCTCTCCCATGGCACTCTCTACTTCTCTGTTGGGTTCAGTAATTCATTGCAATGGTCACACAGAACTCACAGAACTTACTTACAGTTATAGAGTTTACTAGGGAAATATTAGGCCACAATTCCAGATCAGGATCAACATGGAAGTAACAGGAACAACTCAAGATATAGTTCTTTGATGACAGCTTCTTCTTTACTGCTGCAACTGGGCTCTTGCTCTTGGCCTGGGCCTCTGCTTTCGACCCAGGCCCCCAACTCAGCCTGGCCCCTAACCTGCTTGGGCAAGTGTTACAAAGTTCTTTAGCTCTGCCAAGAAGTACCAAGAGGCACCCTGCTCTTCCAGGAAGCCTCTTGCCTGAAGGTACTCAGCTCTGTTGCTCCCTGGGTTGGCATCCCCACTGTAAACTCATTGTTCCCTGGACCGAGAAGCCCACCACATCATGTGTCTCCTATTTCTGCTGCTGCCATTTCTCCACCACTGCTCCTACCTGTCTCTGGTGTTACAGCTGGTGTTACTATGTCTGTCTCCTGGGTCTAGGAGGTTCTCAGCATAGAAATCCTGGGTCCAAAGGACATATGCCACTCCTGGCTCTACTTCTTGATGGTAGTGAGGTCTTTCCTCTCTAGCCTCTTGGATTGATCCATTTTAACACTAATGGGATGGCAAAACTGACAAATCTCCTTTTTAGGGCTCCATACACTTTATTTGCATGGTCCCACCTCATGAACCTTATTTGCATTTATTAGCAGGCTGTCCAATTCCCTCATTGGGCCCAAAACACCTTATTTGCATAGTCCCACCCAATCATTTTAGGGGAATCAAAAGACCATGCATGACTAGAAGGGCCATATTAAGTAATTCACTGTGCTACAAGGGAACTTTGTTAACATTCACCCCAGAGACCTAATACAAGCTTATGTATGGTCAAAGAAAGTTTCCTGGAGGGAGTTGCCTTTAAGTCAAGGTAAACCAGTTGCCATCAAGTCAATTATGAGTTATAGTCAACTACATACATTAGCATAAGCTTCTTTTTTCTTTTCTTTTTTTAAAAATTTTTATTGTGATTTGGGTAAAAGTTTACAGAGCAAATTCATTTTCCATACAGCAGTTCATACACATTTTGTTTCATGACAGTGACTGCAATTCCCCACAATATAACAGCTCTCTTCTCACTTCCTCCCTGTAGTTACCACTTCCCTGTGTCCTTCTTTCCTATGCATTCCTGCCCCCTGAGCTATCTACCTGTGCAAATACTGCCATTTTGTCCTCCCATGATTGATTGTTCTAAGGAGTGTATTTACCTGAAATAAATGTTCACCCTATATGCCTCTTTACTGTTTGACTGGGAGCCATGGGAGTGAGTTAAATTCAGACCTGAAGAGTAACTAGGGGCCATAGCCTTGGGGGTTTCACAATGCTCTATCAGACCAGTAAGACTGGTATATTTTATGATTTTGAGTTTTGTTGCATATTGTTCTCTCACTCTATCCAAGATTTCCTGCACTGATCTCTTTCCAAGTGGTTGACAGCTGTAGCTGGGCACCATCTAGTCTTCTGGCTCATGATTATATAGGATGAGGTTTGCATGGTCCGCTAGCCCCTTGGACTAATTGTTTCCATACACGTTTGGTTTTCTTCATTTTTCTTTGCTCTGAATGAGGAGAGACAAATTATTGCATCTACATGGTCACTTGAAGCTTTTAAGACCACCTACTATGCTATTCACCAGAGTAGGATGTAGAACAATGTATAACATACATTAAGGCTGGCCATTCAAAAGAAGGCATCAATGGGCAATGTAAATTAAAATTCAGAGGAAAGATGTTGACATGTACAATATTTCAGCATTATCCTTTATGTAGACTGGATGCTCCTGTGGGGCTGAGCAAGAAGAGGTGCAGTGGTATGCTTTGGCAGGAATGTACATAAGCTCAGTAATAAAAATATACCTCCTGGATTTTGCTCATGTTTATCTCTTTGGTGTTTCAGTCTCTAATCCAGATCCTGCAAACCCCCAAGGGCCGTGCTGCTTTCAGAGTTTCCAGTGGATTCAATGGGCTGCTGTCTTTGCTCTCTGATCTGGAGGGATCTCTCCAAGAACCCCCACTGAAGATGTCAGGTCCAGTTTCCCCCAGTCAGACTCTGAACCTGGTCTTCCACACCTTCTGTGCTCTGTCTGCAGCATTGAACCTGGACCCTGTCAACAGTGACTTCTTCCAGAGGAATAGGTTGTGTGAGAAGCTGGCCGAGGATCTCTACAGGATGGGCTGTTTTGGTATCATGGAGGAAGAAGGAGAACCACTGCAATCCTGGACAGACAAAAAGCCCAGGACGTTTGCTGATTTGCAGAGTGCTGCCTTTTCCTCCACCAGCCCATTACCATCCAGGTTACAGAACTGCCTCCAGATCCTCAGCTTTTTGGACAGCATGGCCAGCAGCACCCTTCACCTACAAAGGGACCTGACCAAGTCTCTGAGGGCCAGCCCAGGGCCAGTTGTGGATGCTCAGACAGAAGAAGCCAACAATAACCCTAAAAGCAGCTTCCAGCAGTGGCCAGACCTGGAGGAAAGGTAGAGCCTCTTCTGAAATCAAGGGTCACCAGTGTGTTCTCTCTCTCCCATTCCCCCCTCCCCACCAACATCCTTGGTATGTGCAGTGCATATAGTTCATGGTACATCAACTTAGATATGCACACACATTGTATAACTCTTTTCCTTAAATCAAGTTAAATGTGACTCTAAGTTCCTGCACCCTGGGAGCTGGCAGAAAATTCAGTCTGAATCAATACAGTGTTTAGGGAATGCTGTTGGGTTATACAAGAACCAAGGAAGCTTACAGGGTGCCCAGAAACTTAGGCAGTATCCCTCCTGAGATATGCTTACTTAGTGTGTTGGGATCTTTGCTGATGCTCATTGCCTTGGTGCCTGAGATCAGCCTCCCTGGATGTGCCTTGTAGCCTTCTTCCAGGTTCCAACCCAGTCTCTACTAGGGAATGGGGTCAGGTCTTGTGACTTGTAAGATACAAATCTCAGTATCCTTCACAATCATGGAAACTGTTATTTCCTGCTGCTTTCCACTTCCCCTAACTCCTCTTATTTCTATAGACCAATCTCCTCAATGAACATAGACTTCTCTAAACAACTTATTGTTTTCAACTCTGTAACACAGAATTTCACTTAAGTGAGGGAAGACAAAGAGCCACCCTTCTTCCCTTGAGTGAGAAGAAAAATGAAAGAATAGAACAGCAATAAAAGATACCTTCTTTCATTCCTCTAAACCAGCAAAGATACAACACAAATTAATATTGCACTATATTGTCCTACCTACTCCTTTTCCAAGTCATACTGCCTTTGAATACCATAGTGTACTTTCCTATAAGATCTCATACTTTTTTTTTTTTTTTTTTTGTCAATGAGAGGCCCTATTTGCCAGACTTCAGTTTTGGGGGTTATTTGGTGAAGGGGGGCGGGATAGATGTCAAATCTCCAACTACCAAAATTATTATGCTTTTTTGTTTGTTTCATTGGCTAAGCTATTTTGTTAATTTTGTTTTTAATTATTTCCTTCTTTCTACTATCATTGGGTGTATTCTAGTATTCATTTTCTTAACTTGGAAGGTAAGGAGATAATTTTTTAAATTTTTTTAAAATTAATTGATTTATTTATATATATTTTTATTATTATTATTTTTCAATTTTTTCAGTGTTCCCTCCAAGTTAGCAGATAAATTTTTGGTCCTCTTTTAAATATAAATTTCCCTGCAAGTATTATAAGTTTTTTTTTAATACAGTGGCTTTTCTTTTTCTTCTTCTTCCTTTTTTTGTTTTTAATTGTATTGTACTTTGAGTGGAAATTCACAGAGGAAAAATTGTTTCACATTCCACAGTTCATGTGCATTTGATTTCATGCCCCGATTAACATCCTTGACCATAAGAAACTCTCCTCCCTTCCAGTCCCTGTGACACCCCCTTATGCACTCCTGTCTGCCCAGCTTTCCCCTCTATGTGAATGATGTCCCTCTGGTGCTCCATGGCCTATTGTTGATAGGTATATCTCCATAGAGTAGGTGGGTGCATTGCCTTGGGATAGGTGTTCTGCATGTAGGTCTTTCTACTGTTGGGCTGAGAGCCAATTCATAGGAGTGAGTCCAGTTCTAGGCTTGAAGGGTAATCTGGGGCCATAGTCTTGGGGTTCCACCAGACTCTATCTGACCAGTTGTTATTGTTGTTGTTGTTATGTGCTGTCAAGTGGGACCCAACTCATAGCAACTCCTCCTTGGGTTTCCGAGGCAGTATCACTATGGAAGTAGATTGCCCCATCTTCTTTCCAAGGAGTGGCTGGTGGGTTTGAACTGCCAGCCTTCTAGTTAGCAGACAACTGTTTTAGGCACTACACTACCAGAGCTCCTATCTGACCAGCAATTCTGGTCATTTTGTGTTTTTGGATTTGGTTCTACATTTTTCCTTCCACTCTATCCAGGATCTCCAGATTTGATCCTTTTCTGAGCAATTGGCATTGGTAGCCGGTGCCATCTAGATCTTCTGTTCTCAGTGTACATCATATCCTTCTACTAATTGTTTCCAGATGCCTTGATTTTCTTCACTCTTCTTTACTTCAGGTGAGAGGGGACCAACATTTGCATCTTAGATGGCCACTTGAAAGCTTTTAAGACCCCAGTCACTATTCAGCAAAGTAGGTTGTGGAACAAGATTTTTGTGACTATATTGTGCCAATTGAACTTGGTGTCCCCAGAAACTATGGTCCCGAGTCAGAGGGCCTGGTGATTCTCTCTCTCAAGGTGTATGGCTGTCTCTGAGAAGTTACTCCAACTCTGTCTTCTGTTGCTTCTGTAATGTGTGTGGTTAATTTTGTAGCACAAGTGCATATGTAAGGCTATATTTAGCTAAATCTATCCTTGGTCTAGGGTATATTCCTGTTCACCGACCCCCACCTGATCTTTTCATTTGTCTGTGCATTTATCTGTAGCCTGGTGTTTGGTGTTAGTGACAATGCAGTATGTGCATATACTATTATTTGCCTCTGTTGTCTATGTCTTACGTACATATTTCAGTGTCCTTCCTTTTCCCAGTGTTATCATGCTGGTCACAGACTCTTTCCATACCTTCCCTCCCCTCATTCAAATCAACATGTGACCCCAACTAGTCTGAGATTTTCCTCCCCTTCCTTCCCAACCCTGGTGAACTTCAAAGTGAGTTTCCTTCCCTAAGTAAACCTTTCCTTGACTTTTTTACAATGAGCTCATATAACATTTGTCCTTATGTGATTGGCTTATTTAATTCAGCATAATGTCTTCCAAATTCATCCATGTTGTGAGATGATTCATGTATTCTTCATTATTCTTTAATGTAGCATAGTATTCCTTTGTGTAAATGTACCATAGTTTGGTTATCCATTCATCTGTTGATGGGCATTTAGGTTGTTTCAATCTCTTTGCTACAGTGAATTGTGCTGTGATGAACATGGATGTGCATGTGTCTGTTTGTGGCCTGCCTCTCATCTCTTTAGGATGTATTCCTAGTAATGGAATTGCTGGGTTGTTGTTGTTGTTGTTGTTATGTGCCACCGAGTCGGACCCGACTCATAGCAACTCCTCCTTGGGTTTCCAAAGCGATATCACTATGGAAGTAGATTGCCCAACCTTCAAGTAGTATTTCTATTTTCAGTTTTTTAAGGAAATGCTATACCATTTTCCACAATGGTTGTACCATTTTGCAGTCCCACCAGCAGTGTATGAGAGTTCCAATCTCTCCATAACCTCACCAGCATTTGTTATTTTCTGTCTTGTTGAAATTTGCTATTATTGCTGGGATGAGATGAAATCTCATTGTTGTTTTGATTTGCATCTCTCTAATGGCTAGTGATTGTGAGCATTTCTTCATATGTTTGTTGACCACCAATATGTCATTTTTAGTGAAGTTTCTGTTCATGTTCATTGCCAATTTTCAAATTGGGTTGTTTGTCTTTTTGGTGTTGAGGTGTTGAAATTTTCTACAAATTTTGGAGATAAGTCCTTTGTCAGGTAACTCATAACCAAATATTTTTTCCCAATCTGTAGGTTTTCATTTTACCCTTTTGGAGAAGTCTTTCAATGTGCATAAGAATTTAATTTTTAAAATGTCCCAGTCATCGAAAGACAGGCATATGAACTGAACATTGTCATTTGGTAGATAGATGCATTCCTTAGAGAGATCAATCATGGGAGAATAGAAGGGCTGTATGTACAGAGAGACAGTTCAGGGGGCAGGAGTGCATGGGAGGGTAGGACACAGGGGAGATGTGGTTATGGGGAAGAAGTGGAAGGAGATGTTGCAGCATGGGAGGTTACAGTCAATGTCATGAGACAAAGTGTATGTGAACTGCTGTATAGAAGATAAATTTGCTCTGTAATCTTTCTCTCAAATCACAATAAAATTGAAAAAAAAAAAAAAAATCCCAGTCATCTAGCTTTTACTCCACTACCTGTGCATTTGGGGTTATGCTTGATAGTCTATTTATCCCATGAATTAGGGCCTCTATATTTGCCCCTATTTTATATTTGATTAACTTTATGTTTTTTGGTTTTACATTTAAGTCTTTGGTCCAACTTGAGTTTGTTTTTGTGTGTGGGGTGAGGTGTGGGCCTTGTTTCATTTTTCTTCAAGTGATAAACAATTTTGCCAGCACCATTTGTTAACGAGGCTCACTCTCCTCCATTTAATGAGTTTTGGTCCTTTGTCAAAGATCAGGTGTCCATAGAAGGATGGGTCTATTTCTCATTTTTTTATTCTGTTCCATTGGTCTATCTGTCTATCATTACACCAATAACATGCTGTTTTTAACTACTGTGGCTGTATAGTAGGTTTTGGTATCGGGGAGTGTGAGACTTCCTACTTTGTTTTTCTTCTTCAGCAGTGCTTTGCTTATCCAAGGTCTCTTTCCTCTCCACATGAAATTAATAATTGTTTTTTCCATATCCTTAAAAAATGTTGATGGTGTCTGGATCGAGATTGCATTGAATGTGTCGATTGCTTTTGGTAATAATGACATTTCACAATATTAAGTCTTCCTACTCATAAACAAGTTCTTCCATTTCTGTAGATCCCTTGTCGTTTCTTCTTGTAGTGTTTTGTAGTTTTCTTTGTATAGATACTTTATGTCTCTGGTAAGATTTATTCCTGAATATTTTATCTTTTGGGTAGCTATTGTAAATGGTGTTGTTTTTGTTATTTCCTTTCCAGAGGTCTCTTTGTTGATATACGGGAATCCAACTGATTTTTTTGTGTTGACCTTGTATCCTGCCACTTTGCTGAAACTTTCTATTAAATCCAGTATTATTTTTTTAGTCTCTTGGATTTTCTATATATAGGATCATGTCATCTGCAAATAGAGATAGCTTTACTTCCTCTTTGTCAATTTGGATGCCTTTAATTTCTCTTTCTTGCTTTTTTTTGCCCTGGCTAGGACTTCCAATACAATGATAAATAGGAGTGGTGATAGAGGGCATCCTTGTCTAGCTCCCGTTCACAAGGGGAGTGCTTTGAGTCTTTCTCTGTTAACAGTAATGTTGGCT